TTCTTCTTCTTCACTATCGCTTTCAGTTTCAGGATAAACGTCATGGACAATTGGAGGTTCATCCACGAACTCTTGGATAAGCTGCTCGATGTGAAAGTCTTCTCGCTCGCGTGCTTCTTCATCGAAGTCGTCTACACCCTCTCGAGTCACTAAATCCATCGAATTCAAGCTATCAAGCTTTTGCGATTGAAGTGTTTCGGGCAAAAGATTTGGGGATTTTTGGTCAAAAGAGGTTTAAAGAAGGATTGAAGCTTTTGCGATCTAGGGTTAGTGATTTGGGGATTTTCTGGGAAAAGAGGTTTAATCAATTTGTCGGGATAATTTTGGTTTAGAATGTGTAATCTGGTCAATTTTAGTTTAGGATGTGTAATCGGATTATAATTAGGTTTGCTATTGGTTTAGTGTGGTTTATGGTTTTTCTCAAAACAGTAAACCGTCTAAAACCATGGTTAACGGCTCGAATTCTAATTTAGTGGAGATATTAGTTTTTAACTTTTATTTCGGGGCTATCTGGATCTTTAACTTTCATCGGAGGGATATCTAGAAAGAGGGTATAGTTCGGGCTTCATCTGGTGCTATACGATAGTTCTGGTGGGGAAATAGATCGTTTTCCCTTGTTTAAATATAAATAGGTTAATTTAGCTGATTTTTATCCTTTTGTTTAAATATAAATAATTTAATTTAAATGTAATCTATTTTATAGATTCTTTGTAAAAGCTATAAAAGTTTATCTATTCTCATTGTAAAATATACATAAATATTTGAAAATATAAATGAGAGTTTTTTTTTCTCTAACAGCTTAGGCTTTGTTACTTTGTTCTTTTGAATACACGTATGTGATTTTTTTTGGTCAACTTTTTAATTAAAATCTTGAAAGGAGTTTAGACAAGGCCCAATGGGCTAAGAGACAAAATGGCTGATTTTGCTAGTCCATCTGCTAAAGAGTTTGCAGAACGCTTAATGAAACAAAACGATATGGAAACAAAGAGAGGAACAAGGCTCCTGATTTTAAAAATTATCCCTTTTGTCTCTTAGCCCATTAAAATGGCCCATTAGCTCAATTGGTTAGAGCGTCGTGCTAATAACGCGAAGGTCGCATGTTGGAAACCTGCATGGGCCATTCTAACTTTATTATCAAAACTCAGTTATAACAACTCATCTTGAAAAAAAAGTTTTTCTCTCCCAGACCCGAGTCTCGAGAATGGTCCTCCCTCTCTGGTCTTTTAACGGTATCAATTCTCAACCACTTTTCTTTACCCAAAATAGTAAAATTTTCAAAATTTTGCCTTGAGAGACGCGCCTCCGCAGTTCCACCCCCACCTTCGGGTCGGAGGCTCCGTCGTCAGCTCCGAGAACCACCATGGAAGCATCCACTAACTCCTCGGATCCATATCCACAATCAAAGAAGGAACCTCTGTGCTTTCAGACTTCCTGGAAGGCATAAGGTTTGACCCCCCAGTCGGCACCAACCATCTTTACCCCTTTGTCAAGCTGTGGAATTTGTCCATTTACCCTACGAATGGATAACTCTCTTACTTGAACTATTCATCTACGCATACCGCTTATTACCAGAAACCGTACTCATCCTAAACCGCCAACTCCTGCGAAAATGACTCAACGCTTCTCAACAGCTGAAAAAGGAAAATGGGTTCCCTCTGCTACTCCTTCTGACCAGCGAATCCCTATCCAAATCCTAAAAAGCGACAACTCAAACCTGATAGAGGAAAACCGCTTCACCCTAATAGATAGGGTAGTGAATCCACTAGCACAAAAACCCCACTGGATGGTGGAATGGCTCATTCAGTTCTGGAACCTCGACACGCCAATGGTGGGAAGATCTCTAGGTCCAGATCTGTTCAGCTTCAAATTCGAATCTGAAGAAGCCCTGTCAAACATCCTCCAAAAATCTCCTTACCACTATTAGAGGTGGATGCTCATCCTCCAAAGGTGGGAACCGGTAATCTCCAGTGACTTCCCCTTATCCATCCAGTTCTGGGTCATGATCCATGGAATTCCTCTCCACTACTGACAGGACTCAACCTTTTTGTCCATTGGTAAAGCTATTGGTAATGTCGTTGACAAAGATATCCCAGAAGAAAGGCTGAGAATCAAAATAAATGGTCTCAAACCCTTGGAAATGAAGCTACCCATAAGCATTCCATCGGGCGAAGTCCTTTGAGTTACTCTGGAGTATGAAAGACTTGAGAAACACTGCTTTTCCTGCTACTCCCTCATGTATGAGGAAAAAGACTGCCCGAAGAAATCAGGGAACACTTCTAGAGCTTCCAGCTCAAGGGGCCTAAACCAACTGAATACAGTCTCAGCCCTAGAGGAAGCCAGAAGGAAGAACCTTAACCGCGAAGGAAACCTCCCCCCTAGAGAACTAACCACGAATCGAAGTGGAGAAGTCACCATCTATCACCGTAGAGCAGCTCTCTCCCCAGAAAGAAATCTACCTATACACCCCAACAGAAGAGACTCCCCCACGAGAAGATCTAGAGGACTTGATTCTCGTCTACATTACCCATCTCATTGGGATTCTCGCAGGAACACCAGTAGGATATATAATCGCCCTAATGACAAAACCTCTTCTCGAGACAGACTCTCTTCCCAGCCTCGAGGAATATCACCACAACGGTATAAGATCAGACCTTTGCCAGAAAGTGACTCCCTCTCAAAAGCAGGAAGTAAACCCACTCATACCTCCAAAGACAACACCCCAAGATTTGCGACGGATGTCCAGGGTAACTTACACAGATTCACCCCACAAACCTCCCAAAAATCTCAGACATCACATAATCCTTCCCCAAATCCAATGAGGGAACCGATGTCAGTACCGCCTGCTGCGGAAAGAGAAGAAGTAATTAGTCCAGCGCTCCAGCGAGGCTCAGCCTTGGATATAATATCCCCACAAAGCCAAAGAGGATCTCAAGATAAGCAAGGATGATCTAGCTTACTCTTAGGACGACTACAAGAGGTAGAGATTCAGTATGATGAGGGCATCTTCTCCTCTGGAGAGCGTCTTCACCCCTCTCTCTGCCTCGGAAGACCATCAACAACAAAGCGCAAACTTGTCAAACATTCCACAAGGAAGACTGCCTCAACATCACAAACAACAGCAAGAGGAAAACAGCAGGAGGAAAAGGAATTTTTTTCCAAAGCCCACTACAAGGAGTTAACTCAAAGGAAACGATTAGCAACCAGGAAAACTACAGTAACAAAAAGCGTCTACCCCAATCAGAGATACGTTTAATGGAGAATTTACCTCAACCTGATGATTTGGGCCAAGCTTCCAATGCTGCGAGACCACCTCAACAGAAGGAAAGGGAGGATTTTCAAATACCCCAATCCCCTCTTCCTTAGTATTGGCAAGCTGGAACTATCAAGGAATTAAGGTAACCCTGACAGTTCACTGGTTGAGGGAAATCCGTCTCACCCTCTTCCCTCGTCTACATTACCCATCTCATTGGGATTCTCGCAGGAACACCAGTAGGATATATAATCGCCCTGATGACAAAACCTCTTCTCGAGACAGACTCTCTTCCCAGCCTCGAGGAATATCACCACCACGGTATAAGATCAGAACTTTGCCAGAAAGTGACTCCCTCTCAAAAGCAGGAAGTAAACCCACTCATGCCTCCAAAGACAACACCCCAAGATTTGCGACGGATGTCCAGGGTAACTTACACAGACTCACCCCACAAACCTCCCAAAAATCTCAGACATCACATAATCCTTCCCCAAATCCAATGAGGGAACCGATGTCAGTACCGCCTGCTGCGGAAAGAGAAGAAGTAATTAGTCCAGCCCTCCAGCAAGGCTCAGCCTTGGATATAATATCCCCACAAAGCCAAAGAGGATCTCAAGATAAGCAAAGATGATCTAGCTTACTCTTAGGACGACTACAAGAGGTAGAGATTCAGTATGATGAGGGCATCTTCTCCTCTGGAGAGCGTCTTCACCCCTCTCTCTGCCTCGGAAGACCATCAACAACAAAGCGCAAACCTGTCAAACATTCCACAAGGAAGACTGCCTCAACATCACAAACAACAGCAAGAGGAAAACAGCAGGAGGAAAAGGAATTTTTTTTCCAAAGAGACCCTCTTTCCCCCTTCTTGTTCATCCTATGCACTGAAGTACTCTCCGGATTATGTACCAAAGCGCAAGAATCAGGGAAACTCAAAGGGATCTAAGTGGCATGCTAGAGCCCGTTCATTAATCATCTTCCCTTTGCGGATGATACTCTCTTCTTCTGCAGAACCAATACAAGATGTTGCAACGAACTCTCCCGAATCCTGAAGACATATGAAAACCTGTTAGGCCAGTGTATCAACCTTGTCAAATCTTCCATCACCTTCTCCTCCAAAGCCCCTCCAAAGATACGGGAAAGGGTTAAAACCACTTTAGGAATCGACAAGGAAGGAGGGTCAGGAAAGTATCTCGGCTTACCCAAAATTTTCGAGAGAAGAAAAAAGGATGTCTTCACAGGACTTATGGATCGGGTAAGGCAACATGCCCGCAGCTGGACTTCCCGCTTCCTTTCAGGAGCAGGCAAACAAGTTTTACTTTAAGCAGTGTTATCAGCTCTACCAGTGTACACCATGACCTGTTTCAAACTCCCGAAATCACTCTGCCAGCGCATCCAATCAATCCTCACGAGGTTTTGGTGGGACTCCTCCCCGAAAAAAAAAAAAATATCTTGGGTGGCTTGGTCACGCCTTGCGCAACCAAAACGAGCAGAAGGCCTATGATTCAGAGAAATTGAAGAGTTTAATACTGTTCTACTCGCAAAACAAAGTTGGAAAATACTCAATCACAAAGAGAGCCTCTTGACTAAGGTCTTACTAGGGAAATACTGCACTGAGATAAGTTTCTTGGAAGTGGACTGTGCAGTGGGAGCTTCCCATGGCTGGAAAGGCATTCTATAAGGAAGATCAGTTCTCCGGAAGGGTATTGGCTGGGTTGTAGGAAACGGCAGCAACATTGATGTTTGGTCAGCCCCATGGCTCTCCAACAAGACACCCCAAGCCCCTTATGCCCCCCCCCCCCCCCCCCCCCCCCTCCCTCCCTACAAAAGAAAACACATCCCTAAAGGTCAAGGATCTGCTCCACCAAGGCTCAAACGAGTAGAACTTAGAAAGTATCCGAGCCTATTTACCTCAGTATGAGGAAACTATTCGCCAGATTATCCCAAGCTCCAGGAAAACCAGCCGATTCATTGGTCTGGTTACCCGATAAAGCATGCAACTTCTCAACAAAAACAGGGTAAAACCTGCAGAAAAAAAATTCAACCTTGTTAGAGACTCAGAGTTCGACTGGTATCAATGCATTTGGAATCTTCACACACCCCCGAAAATCAAGCAATTCCTTTGGCGAGTTTCTAATGGAGCTTTACCTGTGGGAGCCAACCTCAATTGAGGGGGATCGAGAGCAATTCGGCTTGTCCACGGTGTGGTGACCCAGAGACGATTATCCACGTTTGGCTCGAATGCCCGTTCGCTCACTTGGTCTGGAGAGCCTCCCCAATCACCCTGTCACCTATATACGCACATGTGGATCCAGATTCCAGAAGCCTCTTGCAGTCTCTCCACAAATCCAAGAACTCTCCTTCGTCAGGACTAACAGAGACTCCACTTTACCCTTGGATCCTCTGGTATCTCTGGAAAGCGCGAAACAAACTTGTCTTCGAAGAGATCAGCACTATATGCCCAGATCTGGTGGAAAAAGCCTCTTCGGAAGCCCTTACCTGGCAAGCGGCAAACACCGAAGCGACCCCAAAGCACTCACACTCCTCCAAGCGAAATAGGACCGTCGCTCCTCCCACTGTCCCAACTTGCTACACAGATGGAGTGTGGAACCCAGTATCCAAATTTGGAGGCATGGGTTGGATTATCGTGGATCCAGTGGGAGACACGATCCGGGAGAACTCCTCATCAAGACGTTTTGTAGCTTCAGCGCCGACAGCAGAAGCCTTAGCAGTCCTAGGCAGCCTACGAGACTCCATATCGCTCGAGATCAAGGACATGCACATCAAGTCAGACTCGGAAGTCCTCATCAACGCCCTCACTGGAGGATCGGAATTGCTAGAGATCGCAGGGATCCTTGACGATATAAGGAGCCTTGTTCCTCTCTTCATTTCCATAGCGTTCTGCAAACTCTTTAGCAGATGGGCTGGCAAAATCAGCCTTTTGTCTCTTAGCTCATTGGACCCTGTCTAAACTCCTTTCAAGTTTTTAATTAAAAATTTGACCAAAAAAAGGAAAGAAAAATAAACGAGTGATGGTGGTTTTAATTGAGTTTTTAAAATTCAAAAGCATAAGCTTGGAAAGATAATGATCCAATTAGTCCAAAAATGATTTGGACCAACAAGATAGGTTGTTTGAAATATGACAAAATACAAAATAGGGTAAAAGTAAACATAATATTAAGGGATTATTTTTGAAATAACCCACTTAAGAATTTTATTATGAAACATGACTCTTGTGTTAGAGGGGTTCACTGGTTTGCTTTCAATCTGCTATTAGTCTGCCAGTAATTTGCAATTAGTCTATCATTAGTCTGCCAGTAGTCTACATTCAATTATTTGACCAATCAGTCTGCCAGTAGTCTACATTCAATTATCTGACCAATCAGTCTGCTAATAGTCTGCATTCAGTCTGCCGTTAGTCTGCCATTGGTCTGCCATTAGTCTACATTCAATTATTTGAACTATCAGTCTGCAAATAATCTGCATTCAGTCTATCATTAGTCTGCCATTAGTCTACAAATAACAGTAGTTAGAAGGGTATCGTTTATTTATAAAAATCATAAAAAGGGGTCATTTTCACAATTTTCCCTCAATGGAGTACCCATTTCACATTATTTTATCATTCTGAGTCATTTTAGAGCATTTCTTCTAATAATATTAGTATATATATCAAAATATTTGAAATTTAATTAACAAATAACTTTGCATAAACTATCCATTTGATCGATCCCTAATTTTTTAAAACAACACGGAACTTTTGAATTATAATCACAGTTAAGTTGGACAAAAGAAATTATTATAGAGTGAATTTTAACATAGAGTTAATGTTTTAAAATTCTCCTTTTGATATAATGTATCATTAATTATTTATATATATATATATATATATATAGTCTTAAGAAAATTTATTGTAGCATGTGAAAAATATTAATAGGTAATTGTCAATAGGCCATATCAGTTAGACTGTATTAATGTTATAGAGTAAAAGAATTTGCACAAAGTTAGACTATATCAATAGGCCATACCAGCTATATTGAATTTAAACAAAGATATAATTAAATATTTCATCATTATTTTTTTTCCTGCATCATTCTTGCTTTCCACGAACTTTTACTAATGTCACTCTTACGAAACTCTATTCATGCAAATAAATTATAGATAGTAAGAATACTAATCTTTAACAAACAAAAAAACCTTATTCAAATATAAATACATAAAGCTAATAATATAGTTGAAAAAAATAGTATGTACTGTGGAAGGGGAGAGAGACCATGAGGAGGGTTTAGATCTCCGCATTTGATTTTACAATTTTCAAAGCAATTAACATCGTGAGTGCTACAATGTTTTGAATCTGAACATTCATGAAAACACTTAATCCAATTTTTTTTTTTGTTTTGCTTCCACTGTGACCTCCCCAACAATCACTAACATCATTAACACTACCATTGCACTCCATTTTCCCATTTTTAGATTCTACAAAAGCAAATTTTGTTTTTTATATAATATTTTCATTTTTATCTTATCACTGTTGTTGAATTTATTTTTAAGAAATCAACCTCTATTTATAATATTTTCATATACATTTACTAAAATGTATTGTCAATAGGTCATACCAGTAAGACTGTATCATCGTATAAAGACTATACATAAAATTATGTTGATATCAAATGCATGCATGTATGACAGGTTGTTAAACAAGTTTTTATTTTTATTTTGGTATGAATGTTAAGATTTGTTATTAAAAAATTGTATTATTTTTGAAGTAGTTTTTTTTTCTCTTTCACATTAGCATTTTTAAATTGGAGTAAGATTTTCTTTTTTATTTTTAATAGAAATTATATTTCAAAATATGGTTAATTATTGGACAATATGCATATATGACAAGTTGTTAAAATATATAAATGTGTAAATTTTTTCAGTATGTATTATCTTTTTCGACTAGCATTAAATATGTAACATTTTTAAAATCTAGTACTATTGTATGATGTATTTTATAATATAAGTTTTTTATATACGAATAATTAAAAAATCATTTTATAGATACCGCATAAATTTTAGGCTACATAAACATATATCGTATGAGCAGCTTATTAAAAATGTATGCATCCGCCATAAAATCAAGAATAAGAAGTTATAAGTAGAAATTAGAGCAATCGCTTCAGGTATATAAGTAAAGATGTTTCGTGGTTTCATTCACGATTTTAATTTCTTAAACAAGTCTCATCACCTATCTTTCTTTTTAAGCAAGTCTCATCACCTATCTTTCTTTTAAGCAAGTCTCATTACCAAGTGTTCACCAAATGTACATTTATTATAAAATACAATGCATTTAGATGAAACAAACAAAAAGCGTTATATAAAATTACGTTTGATAAGTGAACATAGAAAAAATCTAAAAAACAAAATCCATCACTTATGAATTATTTTAACTCAATAAATATGGAGCTACTATCAATTGCATTAGCTTTTGTAATGTGATGTATAATTTGGAATCTCTATTAATAGAAATATTATTGAATGGAAATTATTTTCATATGACTGTACATCTTGGTATATATATACTAACATATTAAGACTGTACAAGTAAACCATATAGTACTATATACACATCATCTATACCCTTTTTTAGTTCCCCTCAAGATGGCGTCATAATGTAGTGAAGACCCATCTTAGACATGAACAGGAATACAGAAGGATATAGAGAAATAATGTTTATTATTATACAAAAATATAATCAAATAAAGTTAGACTATAACAATATGTCATACCAGCTATATTGAGTTTAAACAAAGATGTAATCAATGATTTTATTAAATTTTTAACGTAAGGTTACAAACGTAGTTATGATAAAAAAAACATTTTTACAAAAAAAAAATCATTTTTTTTTGTTTTGCATCATTTATGCATTCCACGATCTTCTACTGATGCCAGCTTCTGCAAAACTTTATTCATGCAAACAAATTATAGATAGTAAGATTACAAATGTTTAACAAACAAAAAACTAATTCGAATATAAATACATAAAGCTAATAATATAATTGAAAAGAGTTGAGAAAATAGTATGTACCGTGGAGGGGGAGAGAGACCATGAGGTGGGTTTGGGCCACCACATTTGATTTTGCAGTTTTAAAGACAATTATCGTCGTCATTGCTACAATGTTTTGAATCTGACCATTCAGGAAAACACTTAATCCAATCTTTTTTTTTTGTTTTGCTTCAACCGTGACCGCCGCAACAATCACCAACATCATTAACACTACTGTTGCACTCCATTTTCCCATTTTTAGATCCTACGAAAACAAACTTTTTTTATAATATTTTTCTTTTTATCTTATCGCTGTTGTTGAATTTAGGTTTTAAGAAATCAACCTCTATTGATAAAAATTTCATATACATTTACTCAAATTTATTGTCAATAGGCCATACCAGTTAGACTTTATCATCTTACAAAAATTATATATAAAGTTATGCTGATATCAAATACATGCATGTATAACAGGTTGTTAAATACGTTTTTTTGTATGAATGTTAAAATTTGTTGTTAAGTAAAATTGCTTTATTTTTGAAGTAGTATCTTTTTTCTCTTTCACATTAGCATTTTCAAAATAGAGTAAGATTTTTATCTTTTATGTTCTAATAAAATTAATATTTTAAAATATGGTTAATTATTGGACAATATGTATGCATGACAAACTGTTAAGATATATAAATGTGTAAATCTTTTCGATATGTACTATTGTTTTTGGCTAGCATTAAATATACAATATTTTCGAATCTTGTACTATTGTATGTTTTATTTAATAATATAAACTTTTTTAGATACAAATAATTAAAAAAATCATTTTTATTAATACTGCAGAAATTTTAGGCTATATAAACATATATTGTATGAGTATTTTATTAAAAATATGCATTCACCATAAAATTAATAATAAGAAGTTATAAGTCGAAATTGTAGCAATCGTTCAGGTATATGAGTGAAGATTGTTTGTGTTTTCACTAACGATTTTAATTTTTAAGCAAGTCTCATCACCTATCTTTCTTTTCGCTAAATGTAATGTCGTTCCAAATTTTTTTTTGGGTGTAATCGAATAGGCCCATTGAAATTTTAATATTAATTATTTGTATAAATAATAGAAAATATTTAACATAATCATTACCAGTTATTTGATATACTAAATTCATTTATTATACAATACAATGCATTTAGATGAAACAAACAAAAAGCGTTATATAACATCACGTTTGATAGGTGAACACAAAAAAACGTCTAAAAAAAAATTCATCGCTAATGAATTATTTTAAATAAAAAAAATATGGAGCTATGATCAATAGCATTGGCTTTTGTAATGTGATGTACAATTTAGAATCACTATTAATAGAAATGTTATTAAATAGAAATTACCTTTATTAATTATTAAATGACTGTACATATTAGTATATATATACTACCATATTAAGACTGTACAAGTAAACTATATAATACTATATACACATAATCTATACACTTTATTGGTTCTGCTCAAAGATAGCGTCATAATGTTGTGAAGACCTATCTTAGACATGAACCGATAGAACAAAGAAGGATATAGAGAAATAATGTTTATTATTACACAAAGATATAATCAAATAAAGTTAGACACTATCAATATGCCATACCAGCTATATTGAATTTAAACAAAGATGTAATCAAATGATTTTATTAAATTTTTAACGTAAGGTTACAAACGTAGTTATGATAAAAAACCACTTTTATAAAAAAAATAATCATCTTTTTTTTTGCATCATTTATGCCTTCCACGAACTTCTACTGATGCTAGCTTCTGAAAAACTCTATTCATGCAAAACAATTATAGATAGTAAGAATACAAATGTTTAAGAAACAAAAAAAATAATTCGAATATAAATACATAAAGTTAATAATATTGTTGAAAAGAGTTGAGAAAATAGTATGTACCATAGAGAGGGAGAGAGACCATGAGGAGGGTTTGGGCCACCGCATTTGATTTTACAGTTTTCATAGAAATTACCATCGTGAGTGCTACAATATTTTCAATCTGAACATTCACGAAATACTTAATCCAATCTTTTGTTTGTTTTGTTTCTACTATGACCACCGCAACAATTACCAACATCATTAACACTACTGTTGTATTTCATTTTCCCATTTCTAGATCTTACAAAAGCAAACTTTGTTTTTCATAATATTTTTCTTTTTTATCTGATCACTCTTCTTGACTTTATTTTTAAGAAATCAACATCTATTTATGATATTTTCATATGCATTTACTAAAATGGATTATCAATAGTCCATACCAGTTATACTGTATTATCTTACAGAAACTATTCATAAAGTTATGCTGATATCAAATGCATACATGCATGACAGGTTGTTAAATAAAGTTTTTTTTTGTGTGGTATGAATGATAAGATTTCTTGTTAAAAAATTACATTATTTTTGAAGTAGTTTCTTTTTTCTCTTTCGCATTAGCATTTTCAAAATAGAGTAAGATTTCAGCTTTTATTTTCTAATAGAATTTTTATTTTAGAATATGGTTAATTATTGGACAATATGCATGCACGACAAGTTGTTAAATAAATGTGTAAATCTTTTCAATATGTACTATCATTTTCGACTTGCATTAAATATGCAACGTTTTAAAATTTATGTATTTTATAATATAAGATTTTTATACACAGAATTAATATATATCGTATGAGCATCTTCCTAAAAATATATGCATCTACCATAGAATCAAGAATAAGAAGTTATAAGTAGAAATTGGAGCAATTGTTACAGGTATATGAGTGAAGATTTTTCGTGTTTTCAATCACAATTTTAATTTGTAAGCAAGTCTCATCATCTATCTTTCGTTTCACTAAATATAGTGTTGGCGTTCCAAACTTTTTCGGTTGTAATCGACTAGACCCATTGAACATTTAATATTAATTATTTTTTACAAATAATAGAAAATATTTTTAACATAATCATTATCAGTTATTTGATATTCTAAATTCATTTCTTATACAATAAAATGTATATAGATTAAACAAATAAAATGCGTTATATAACATTACGTTTGATAAGTGAACACATAAAAAATCTAAAAATCAAAATTCATCACTAATGAATTATTTCAAGTCAATAAATATGGAGCTACTACCAATTGCATTGGCTTTTGGAATGTGATGTATAATTTGGAATCGCAATTAATAGAAATATTATTCAATGAAAATTATCTTCATATGACTGTACATAATTGGTATATATATACTACTGTATTAAGACTGTACAAGTAAACAATATAATACTATATACACATCATCTATACAATTTTTTAGTTCACCTCAAGATGGCGTCATAATGTTGTGAAGATGCATCTTAGACATGAACTGATGGAATACAGAAGGATATAGAGAAATAATGTTTATTATTACACAAAGATATAATCAAATAAAGTTACACTATATCAATATGTCATACCAGCTATATTGAGTTTAAACAAAGATGTAATCAAATAATTTTATTAAATTTTTAACATAAGGTTACAAACAGTAGTTATGATAAAAAAAACACTTTTACAAAAAAAAAAATCATCATTCTTTGTTTTTGCTTCATTTATGCCTTCCATGAACTTCTACTGATGCCAGCTCCTGCAAAACTCTATTCATTCAAACAAATTATAGATAATAAAAATACAAATATTTAACAAACAAAAAATCAAATTTGAATATAAATACATAAAGCTAATAATATAGTTGAAAAGAGTTGAGAAAATAGTATGTACCATGGAGGGGGAGAGAGAGACCATGAGGAGGGTTTGGGTCACCGCATTTGATTTTACAGTTTTCAAGAAAATTACCGTCATCATTGCTACAATGTTTTAAATCTGAACACTCACGAAAACACTTAATCCAATTTTTTTTTTTGTTTTGCTTGCAACGTGACCGCCGCAACAACCACCAACATCATTAACACTACCGTTGCACTCCATTTTCCCATTTTTAGATCCTACAAAAACAAACTTTTTTTATAATATTTTTCTTTTTATCTTGTCACTGTTGTTGAATTTATTTTTTAAGAAATCAACCTCTATTTATAATATTTTCATATACATTTACTCAAATGTATTGTCAATAGGCCATACTAGTTAGACTTTATCATCTTACATAAATTATACATAAGGTTATGCTGATATCAAATGCATGCATATACGACAGGTTTTTAAATAAGTTTTTTTTTTGTATGAATGTTAAAATTTGTTATTAAGCAAAATTGCTTTATTTTTGAAGTAGTTTCTTTTTTTCTCTTTCAAATTATCATTTTCAAAATTAGAGTAAGATTTTATCTTTTATTTTCTAATATAATGTATATGTTAAAATATTGTTAATTATTGGACAATATGCATGCATGACAAGTTGTTAAGATATATAAATGTGTAAATCTTTACGATATGTACTTTTTTCGGCTAGCATAAAATATATAACGTTATAAAATCTAGTACTATTGTATGTTTTATTTAATAATATAAGATTTTTTATATACGAATAATTAAAAAAATATTTTTATTAATACCGACATAAATTTTAGGTTATATAAACATATATCGTATGAGCATTTTATTAAAACTATGCATCCACCATGAAATCAAGAATAAGAAGTTATAAGTCGAAATTGTAGCAATCGTTTCAGGTATATGAGTGAAGATTGTCTGTGTTTTCATTAACGATTTTAATTTTTAAGCAAGTCTCATCACTTATCTTTCTTTTCGCTAAATGTAATGTCCGCGTTCCAAAATTTTCCGAGTGTTATCGACTAGGCCCATTGAACTTTTAATATTAATTGTTTGTATAAATAATATAAATTTTTTTTAACATAATCATTACCAGTTATTTGATATACTAAATTCTTTTATTATACAATACAATGCATTTAGATGAAACAAACAAAAAGCGTTATATAACATCACGTTTGATAAGTGAACACAAAAAACATCTAAAAAAAAATCATATCTAATGAATTATTTTAAATTAATAAATATGGAGCTACTATCAATAGCATTGGCTTTTGTAATGTGCTGTACAATTTAGAATCCTTATTAATAGAAATATTATTAAATAGAAATTATCTTTATTATTTATCAAATGACTGTACATCTAAGTATATATATACTACAATATTAAGACTGTACAAGTAAACCATATAATACTATAAACACATCATCTATACATTTTATTAGTTCCCCTGATGGTGCCATAATATTGTGAAAACCTATCTTAGACATGAACCGATGGAACAGAGAAGGATATAAAGAAATAATATTTATTATTATACAAAGATAAAATCAAATAAAGTTAGACTATATCGATAGGCCATATCAGCTATATTGAATTTAAACAAAGATGTAATCAAATAATTTTATGGAATATGTAATGTAAAGTCACAAACAGTAGTTATGATAATAAACATTTTACAAAAAAAAAATTCATCATTCTTTTTTTTGCATCATTCTTGCACTCCACAAACTTTTATTGATGCCAGCTCATGTGAAACTCTATTCATGCAAATAAATTATATAGTAAGAATACTAATGTTTAACAAACAAACAAAAACTAATTCAAATATAAATACATAAAGCTAATAATATAGTTGAAAGGAGTTGAGAAAATAGTATGTACTATAGAGAGGGAGAGAGATCACGAGGAGGGTTTGGGCCACCGCATTTGATTTTATAGTTTTCATAGAAATTACCGTCGTGAGTGCTACAATATTTTCAATCTGAATATTTAAGAAAGACTTAATCCAACCTTTTGTTTGTTTTATTTCCACTGTGACCGCCACAACAATTTCCAACATCATTAACACTACCATTGCATTTCATTTTCCCATTTTTAGATCTTACAAAAGCAAACTTTGTTTTTTATAATATTTTTTTCTTAACTGATCACTCTTCTTAAATTTAGTTTTTAGAAATCAACCTCTATTTATAATATTTTCATATGCATTTGCTAAAATGGATTATCAATAGTCCATACCAGTTATACTGTATCATCTTACAGGAACTATACATAAAGTTATGCTGATATCAAATGTATATATGCATGACAACTTGTTAAATAAGTTTTTTTTGTGGTATGAATGTTAAGATTTCTTGTTAAAAATATTGCATTATTTTTGAAGTAGTTTCTTTTATTCTCTCTTTCACATTAGCATTTTCAAAATAGAGTAAGATTTTATCTTTTATTTTCTAATAGACTTTATATTTTAGAATATGGTTAGACAATATGCATGCATGAGAAGTTGTTAAGATATATAAATCTGTAAATCTTTTCAATATGTACTATCATTTTCGACTAGCATTAAATATACAACGTTTTAAAATCTAGTACTATTGTATGTTGTATTTTATAATATAAGATTTTTATATACGAATAATAAAAAAAATATTTTTATAGATACCACATAAATTATAGGTTATATAAACATATATCGTATGAGCATCTTATTAAAAATGTATGCATCTACCATAGAATCAAGAATAAGAAGTTATAAGTAGAAATTGGAGCAATCGTTTCAGATATACGAGTGAAGATTTTTCGTGTTTTCATTCAGAATTTTAATTTTTAAGCAAGTCTCATCACGTATCTTTCGTTTCACTAAATGTAGTGTCGGTGTTCCAAAATTTTCCGGTTGTAATCGATTAGGCCCATTGAACATTTAATATTAATTATTTGTACAATTAAAAGAAAATATTTTTAACATAATCATTATCAGTTATTTGATCTACTAAATTCATTTCTTAATACAGTACAGTGCATTTAGTTGAAACAAACAAAACGCGTTATATAACATCACGTTTGATAGGTGAACATAGAAAAATTCTCAAAAACAATTTCATCGCTAATGAATTATTTTAACTTGATAAATATGGAGCTACTATCAATATCATTGACTTTTGTAATTTGATGTACCATTTGGAATCGCTATTAATATAAATATTATTGAATAGAAATTATCTTCAATAATTATCAAATTAATGTACATCTTGGTATATATATACTACTGTATTAAGACTGTACAAGTAAACCATATAATACTATATACGCGTCATATATACACTTTATTAGTTCCCTTCAAGATGGCGTCATCGTAGTTTGAAGACCCATCTTAGACATGCACCGATGGAACAGAGAAAGATATAGAGGTTTAGCAAAAGGATCAACTAGCTGATTCTCTGATCGAACATGAAACGTTTTCAACAGACCAGCTTTAATCTTCTCTCGCACAGAATGGCAGTCTGATTCAATATGTTTTGTCCTCTTATGAAGCACATAATTTTCACAATATGTAAAGCAGCAGTACTGTCACAATAAAGAACAGGGGGAGAAGGAGAGGGAACACCCAAATCATTAAACATGCGAGCAATCCAGATAATCTCATCAGCTGTATGGGACAATGTTCTGATTTGGAAACAACCTTTTGCTTCTTGGATTTCCAGTAAATGAGGTATTGACCGTTAAAGGTGCATTAAACCAGTTACTGATCGTCGAGTATCAGGACATTGTGCCCAATCTGAATCACAGAAATATTTGATTTAGAAGTTATCATCGGCTGGATAAAATAAGTTTTGACCAATAACCCCTTTTAGATAGTGTATAACACGATGGGCGGCTTGGAGGTGAGGCTTTCGTGGAGATGAAGAGTACTGATACGACTTGTTCACAGCAAAGGAAATGCCAGGAAGAGTTATTGTGAAATATATCACCTTACCAACCAAATGCCTGTAAACTGCTGCGTCAGGTAGTAATTCATCAGAAGTTGTAGAAATTTTGTTACTCGGATCCATATGAACAGAGGAAGGCTTACATCCCATGAGATCACTGTCTTTGAGCAACTCCAGAACGTACTTGTGCTGACCAACAGAGATTCCAGAAGTAGTACGCGCAATTTTAAGACCAAGAAAATACTTCAGCTCTCCTAAATCACGAAGCTTGAAGTAATCTCGAAGCTGTGTCACAAAAGATATCACAGCTGTATCACTACTACTGGTGATTAATATGTCATCGACATAAACAAGAATAATGATGATAGATGAATCTGTGACGCTTCGAAAGAGAGTATGATCACCATGAATCTTCTGAAAACCAATCGCAATAAGGGTGGAGGAAAGTTTAAGAAACTGTTGACGGGAAGCCTGTTTCAAGCCGTATATAAATTTCTTCAAATGTAGAACTGCATTCTCTGGGAGAATGTTCCCCTTTCTTTCAGAGTATCCAGGAGGTAGATCTATGTAAATTTCCTCGGTCATATCACCATTCAAGAAATCATTTGAAATGTCAAGTTGATGAAGTAGCCACTTTTTCTTAGCCGCAAGAAGCATCTTGACTGTAACCATCATTGCAACAGGAGAGAAAGTATCCACAAAATCAATACCCTCTTGTTGAGTATAGCCTTTAGCTACCAAGCGAGCTGTATGTCTCTCAATACTACCATCAGAGTGCAACTTCAACTTAAACATTCATTTGCATCCCACTGTATCATTTCCCTTAGGTAGAGAACAAAGGTCTCATGTATTAAGGCTTTCCAAAGAACTAAACTACTCGTACACAGCCTTATAACACTCCTTAGACTTCTTTGTCTCATGACAATTATGGGGTTCAGAACAAAGGATAATTGAATTGATGAAAGCAAGGTGAAGAGAAGATAATTTGTTATAAGAGAGATATCTAGAAAGAGGATACAAAGAAGAAAAATTGCAGTGATAGTCCTGTAAGTAAGAAGGTGGTTGACGGTGGCGATGAGATGAAATTGCTAAAGCCAAACTTTCATCAGAAGATGATTGCACAGAAGGCAACGGATCATCATAAGATGTGCTTACAGAAGGTAAACAAACATCGAGAATTACAGAAGTAGGAAAGAAAGCTTTTGCTGTATCGAAAAGAGAAGAAGCAGCAAACAGGAATATATGTTTGTGAAAGAGGACATGCCTGAAAATGGAGATGCTATTAGTC